AAATAACATGATAACTCATTGTAAGTTGAATTTCTTGGGTTACTTTGACTGTCTTCCTCGAGTTTCCCATTTCGCCGTCCGCATGCCTCGTTGAACCTTATCCAAAAGTGGCCAAGTGTAATTTGTAGGAAATTCGCCTTTAGACTTGAGAATGGTAAATGCTTCGGTGATGGCAAACATTTCAATTTTCGAACGGAATGGACACGGAAAAATAAAATAGAATATATAAAAAAATCGGCATAGGGCAGTTCCAAGGCATACAAACAGACCAATGATTGCCTTATTTACTTTTCGCTTTTTTTTTGGATTTTTTTTTCTGTTTACTTGGGGCGTGTGCTGGTGAGTGATGGGTGTTGGGAGGGGGTGTGCTATTCGGGTCACTCGATGGAATGCCCTCGGCCATAAATTCATGCAAAAACAATCTTATTAATGCCTATGAGGGCCTCCCCGCATGCCCGCACATCCAGATTGTGTTAATAATGTTTAACTGCGATTCTTTTTGTTGCTGTTGATTTTCATTTATATTTTGCTTCATTTTTTTTCTACTGCTGTCCCGATAAAATATCAGCGACTAGATTTCCTGTTGCTGTCTGCTGTTGTTTGCCAATTTTAGCCATTTAGTTTGATTTCAGTGTTATCTTTATGTGCTGCCGCTTATCGTACATCCATATAGCCGGTAATGGGCCTAGACCAATGGCCCGAAGGCCTAACAGTGGGCACGACATTTATCACAAAACACAAGAACCTCGGGCTCAGATCGCTCAAATCGCTTCTACACATTGACAAGCAGTAGAGGTATTAGGAGAGATAATGACGATTTATGTATACTATTTGGAACAGCTTCAATAATTCTATTAGCATTCATTCAAAATATTTTATTTATTTATTTATGTATTTATTTTATGACACTTATAGGTCCTATCGCCTACCTATCTAGGTTATTAAAATGTTTGTATCAAAAATGTAGCTGTCTCTTTTTTTTACTTTTCATAGGGTATTTGTACTTCGCTGCCCTGAAGAGAACACCTTCCATTTGGAATTTGGTATATGATTTATTTGTTCTACTATATATCATAAAAGCTGAATGCAAAAGCTGAGTCATTCAGATTTTTAACGACTTGGCCTCGTTCGTAGAGTGCATTGTGCGCTTAAATGGAAATAAATTTACTAATTAGTTGTTGAGCACATAAATCAGCAATAAATTGCTAAGTGTGCCTCAGTTTTCTTATTTATACATCTGAATGTGTACAGATATGCATGTGTATACATATATTAAACAATATGAATCAATTTTCGCATATGAATAATGTTCAGAATTTGAAAAATATGCAAAGTGAACGCTGCTTTTGGGTCATTCCCAAGCCACAATTTTAAGTGGCTGCCTTGGTGAATTTTAATTAAATTTGCTTTAGCGACGGATCTGATTCGATTCGATTCGATTGGACTGCATTCCATGACACAGACATGAAACACATGTTTTCATTTCAGTCTCTCAACTGTCTATCTATATGCTTGCTGTCTGTCTGTCTGTCGCAAATGTCTATCAGCAGTTGAGTAATTTCTTTGATGCTTGGCAAAACTTTGCAGTGGGGCAAACTATCTAAGAAGTTTCTCTGAAAAACTTTGTAATTGATTATCATAAAAATAGCCAAGCTAATTAGCAGAAATTCTAAAGGGCTTGTTCTGGCCATTATCATCATCATCATCATTAGCATCATCATCATCAGCCAGCTGATCATTCTTATGAGCAGAAATAGAAGTTATGTGTTTAGGAGTGGGTTATTGGTCTACTGGTATCATTAGGCAAATTGATGGCCAAGTTAATGGTTTAGTTTCCTCAAGAGGCCTTTGGTGTGTGTCTCAGAAATAGCTTAAAAAGTTGTTAAAGCTCGTTCTTTGTGGTTAAGCAGCATTTAGGATACATAGAAATATAATACATATAAATATATTACCGAGTGCCACACGCAACCATTGTTCTCTGACAAGTAATATATAACATAAAAGAATATATTTTATTATATATTTTATAGATATTTGTATGTTCAATGATGCACACAATGTGTGCAAACAAAATGCAAATTAGCTTGTGAATTAATCTATTAGATGGTAAATTGAAACCAGCACATTTGTTTTCCCACAATTAAATTGGATACTATTGGTTAGATGCAAAACAAATTTCAGTAAAAACCCAACCAATATTTAATCCGAATTGAAATATAATTATTTAGTAAAATGTGTGTAATCAAATTCTAATTCCTTTTAATCACTTGTAGAGGGTAGGGTATATAGGTGGGCAGTACATATGAGGGACCGACCGAATCGGATCACTTTATTATACAGCTGGCACAGAAACGATCGATCGAATGATGAGTGCTTGTATGAAAAATTTTCTTGTTCAAAAAGTTACTCATAGGAACAATCGTTATGCAGTACAGCAAAATTAATTATGACTATAATTTCAAGTCTCAACATTTATAGAGCAAGTCTCATTTAGCTCTATCTGCAAAACAAACAAAAGTATATACATTCATTTCTGCAGTGTGTACTAAAATCATAACTAAATAAAGTTTAGCCAGCTCGAACTAAATATAAGCATTCGCTGCTGATAAGACATCACTCAACCAGACAGTACGTAAACAAAAGCAATAATACATAGTGCTAAACAAAGCATAAAATGAGTGGATGGTGTTGTTAGAGAGCGGAGAAGGTGAAATACGGAATAGAAAATAATACTAAGACCGAAGCGATACTTATTCTATATTAACCCGTGTAAGCTCGGGTCATCAAGTAGACGGTCCAAGTTGACAGGCGAGTTAGAACAAAGAAAGATCCATAAAACGCTTCACGTGCGCCAATAAGTAGGCAATATATGTTGTACTTACAAGAGAAGACGAAACTGCCATCCATTCTGAAGGTGGTGTGGTGTGGGTTTTGATTGTTTCATTCACCCATAAAAACCAGCAAAGAAAGTATCATTAAAGTTAGCGATTGTCCTCCCAGCGCCTTGTTTCATTACATCGCCCAAGCTTAAAGATAAATCGTTCTGAAAAAAATGGCAAGAAATGCATCAAAATTAAAATTACCAAGTGGCACAGTATTCGCCAGCCCCTAGGAGGTGCCAAGTAGCGGTGACAGACGACAATCGGGATGGGACAGGATGACACACTCAAGCTGCTTTGTGCTGGCTTGTTAGTAATAATAATGTGGCGCATGAGCCGACGTGAAGGATAACGGCGATAACGATGAGGACGATGATGATGCTTGATGCTTGATTATGATGATGCTTGATAAGGATTTTGATGATGTTTATGGCTTGAGTAGTTACCGCCTTTGTTGTGCCTCTCGTGCCCGTGTTGCTCGTTGTTTGCGAGTAAATGCGTTAACAAAAAATTGTTAAATGCCATTTTTTACACAATTTCCGGCTGTCGTAGTTCGTTTTCTTCACTCGCCTGCCCCCGGGCCGGTTTGGTTTGTAACCTGTGGGTTCAGCTTGTGTTCCGGGCGAGCGCTCGCCCTATTAATTTATAAAAATGATTATGTTTTTCCTGGCTCGCGGCGTGAAAACCATTTTTGACATTCCTTCATCTTGTTACTTGTTGTTTGCTTATCTTTTTGGCATGAGCAATTTTGTGGAGATCTACCCCTTTTACCGTACATTTTTGATTCCCAAGAAATTTGCTAAAATATTCAGAATATTAATTAAAATTTTGTTGTAAATATTTATTTTTTTCTAGATTTTTGTAGTGCATGAAGAGCAGTTTTGTGAGGATTTTATTAAGTGCACATAACAATATTTAGTGTTTATAATCCACTTGTTTGTGAGCGTTGTTGTCAGCTTCCTTACCGACAATGTATTACATTTCTAGTATCGAAGCGATTCCAATTAAGGTTACACACAACGCGTTCCCACCCTTAAGCCTGATTAAGGATGTGGCCCACGCATATCAACTCTAATTGGGCCGACCAGTTGATATTGCATAAATGAACGTAATTGGAGCTTTGATTAAAACTAAATTAAATGCGCAGTTAAATTCTAGTTGCTTTTCAAATTCGATTTTGTGGCAAATTTGGAATTACCACAACACAAGGGCAGTTTGAACGCAATCGGGTGCAGCCAGATGTTTGTTTTGATGCATTTTACAAACGTATGTAAAGAATTCAACAATCAATGCAATTGAAAAATATGGAAAATATACTAAAATTCCGCAGACCTTGTGATAAATGTATTTGAACGACTTTCATAATTAAAGTCATTTCAGTGTAATAATATCAATCCACTAACATTCAGTGTTAGTAACTGAGAAGATTTCTAAAGATTTCTCGTCCATTCTATAATTTTACGTTCAGCTTTTGTCCTCCTAATGCTTGTATATTTTTTTATAAGAACTACGAACTCCTAAATTGTGGTGCAAATGCAGTTTCCAGCTAAGAGAAGCGAGTTCATTTTCATTCTATCTATTTCATGAGCAGTTAAAGTGTCTATAATGGTGTCAACTTGAATGAAAGCAAAATCACTGGCTGATTTTAACAGACGTTATCAGAGTGACCTTTCCAACTTTACTCTCCGATTATATAAACTGCCCTTAGACAATATAAGCTTAGATGCCACACTTTCGCTTCCGCTGTGGTGCATTTTGTTGGCACATTGTTTTTAATAAAAGCAGCGCTTGACTCGCATCTAAATCTAAAGACCGACCCCGTGCTGCCCCCAGTGATTGCAGATAAATATGGCATGACTGGGGCAGACAGCATATGAATGCGGGACAGGAACTGAAATAAATGCCAGCCATGGCAACAACTTAATCCACAGGGACAAAAGTGAAACAAAAGCGCTACAAAGGGAGAAACAGCGAATGGTAACGGGAGGGGCAGAGGAAGAGAGGACAAAGTTAGTTTCAAAATCCAACTAAGAAGTAATTTCAGTCTGAAAACTTTTACATTTATACAAATCTAATGCAAGTTGTCTTCTGATTTTCACATAACTTTCTTTCTCTCCGTAGAATCGAGACAATTAGCAATGAGCGAAATATTAAAGGAAACTTTTTGAATAAATAAACCATTAAAGATAAACTTAAGACGTGACTGGGCACAGACTACGGAAATGGCTGCTTAAGTGGCGCACTTCCGGCTAAAACCGGGCAAGCAGTAAACAACATCGAGCGTCAATCCCACTCAGCCAGCACTACAAACCGTAACCCACAACCCACAAACACATTCGCCACTCAAAGGCGAATCTCATCAGATAGCCGAACCAAAAAAAGAAGTCTTGAAAGATGGCAAGCGTAGGCAATGAGACGGTTAAGGCTCTTCTCGTTTCGGTTAGCACACAGTTGCCCCACGTCTTGGGCATTGATATGGGCAGTAATTGGAGCAGCAGCAGCACAACAACAGCAACAACAACAACAATATCAACAACCACAACAACAACAATGGCCACGCCCAGCAGCAGCACCATCGCCAACACCATCAGCATTGTGGATGCGGATGCCGCGGATGGCGATAAATCAGGCATTATACATAATCAATTTGTGCAGATCTTTTTCTATGTGCTGTACACCACCGTCTTTGTCCTGGGCGTATTTGGCAATGTGCTTGTGTGCTATGTGGTATTAAGAAATCGAGCCATGCAAACTGTCACCAATATTTTCATCACCAATCTCGCACTCTCGGACATTCTACTTTGTGTGCTGGCGGTGCCTTTTACACCACTGTACACTTTCATGGGTCGCTGGGCCTTCGGACGTACCCTCTGTCACCTAGTATCCTTTGCCCAGGGCTGCAGCATTTATATCTCGACGCTAACGTTGACCTCAATTGCAATCGATCGGTATTTTGTGATCATTTATCCATTCCATCCGCGTATGAAACTCTCCACATGCATCGGGATCATTGTGAGCATTTGGGTAATTGCCTTGCTGGCGACAGTTCCCTATGGAATGTACATGAAGATGACCAACGAGGTGATGGATGATAGCACACAGCACTTGATTGGGGCGAATGGGACGAGCAGTGTAAACGGCAGCCACATCGATGCCACATCGGCTGCCCAGGCCTATATGCAAGTCGTCTCGGATGGTGTCACTGTCTGCGAAGAGAACTGGCCGTCGGAGCATTATCGTAAGGTGTTTGGTGCGATCACAACGACACTGCAGTTTGTGCTTCCATTTTTCATCATATCCATTTGCTATGTCTGGATCTCCGTCAAGCTGAATCAGCGGGCCAGAGCCAAGCCGGGCTCGAAGTCGTCGCGACGGGAGGAAGCTGATCGGGATCGGAAGAAACGCACAAATCGCATGCTTATCGCTATGGTGGCTGTTTTTGGACTTAGCTGGTTACCCATCAATTTGGTGAACATCTTTGATGATTTCGATGACAAATCGAATGAGTGGCGTCTCTACATGTTGTTCTTCTTTGTGGCCCACTCGATTGCCATGAGCTCCACGTGCTACAATCCCTTTCTGTATGCATGGCTGAATGAGAACTTTCGCAAGGAATTCAAGCATGTGTTGCCCTGCTTCAATCCATCCAATAACAACATCATCAACATAACCAGAGGGTATAATCGCAGTGATCGCAACACCTGCGGTCCACGTCTTCATCATGGCAACGGCGAGGGTGGCGGGGCAGGCAGTCTGGATGTGGATGATCAGGATGAAAATGGCATCACACAGGAGACGTGCCTGCCCAAGGAGAAGCTGTTGATTATACCGCGTGAGCCTACCTATGGCAATGGCACCGGAGCCGTCTCCCCCATACTCAGTGCGCGTGGCATTAATGCCGCCCTCCTCCATGCCAACCAACCACAGCAGCTGAATCAGCAGCAACAACAACAGCAGCAAGTGGAGCTGACGAGACGAGGGTGTCGGCGCAGAGATGATGATGGCGACTATATCGACTCTGGCGATGAGCAAACGGTGGAGGTACGCTTCATCGAGACACCATTTGTCAGCTCCGACAACACAACGGGCAACAGCATGCTGGAGGCGAGCGAAAGCCACTGCCAGGATCAAGAGCTGGCTATCTTGGGCGCTGTTGTGGTTATTGATGGCGCTGCCTGTTGCCAGTCAGATGCAAGTAGGCGACATAACTGAGATAGGGTAAGTACCATTATTCCATTCTATTTCCATACTCATTTTTTTCTATGGGTAAGCTTCAAATATTTAAGTTATGAAGAGTTCAGATTTTGGAAACGTATTCAGTATAGATATTTTTATTTGTTATATTATTATTCAACATATTGGGAACAAATTCTTTGAGTTGAGTTTGAAAAATGTAAATCATTGAAGCAGCATGTCTCTCTATACAAAAGACAATTTTTTTGTATCATAAATTAGTTCAATGTGACTTGTTGCTTTGTTTTTATTGCTAGCCAAAGTTTTATCAAGCAAATGAGATGTCAAAGCATAGAAACAAGCAGGGAAGGATAAATTAATATTTATTTTGCAAATTCCCAATATATATATTCTTGCTAATGGATTTTTTCATCAATGTTACTCAAAGCCAATTTGGCATATTTCAACAGAACCAAGAAGCTGCATTATAAATTATTGGCAAAAGAGAAATGTATAAACTTTTGTGCCAACTCATACTGTTTGGCATCATGCAAAAGATTGCTTATAAAAAAAAAACACAAATAGAAACATTTTTGATGATGCAATTTATTTTGTGACTAAGTGCAGTCCTGCAACCTGCATGATTTTTCAGAATATTTGCAATGACATAAGGCAATCTACATTTTGAATGATATGGCAAAGCATCCGGTTTGCGCTTTTGATGCTTTTTGTGCTGCCAAATCTCGTTCGTTGAGCTCCAACTCAACGCAATGGACGAAGACAGCAAGACAGGTAAAGTGCTTCCAGCCAGCCAACATTCAAGATAGTAAATCAACAGTGAGTGCAAAAGTAACTGCCTCTCCTTGAACTACTCAACCCGTCAGCGCACAAATCTTTTTCAGCTACGTTTCTGAAATGGCACCAGGATATTCTTCCAAATGGTCTTTTAGTTTGCACCACCAGCACTCTGTTATGGTTAGAAACAGACTTTATTAAGTTGTTATACGGTTCTTGTTGCATAAAAAGTGAAGAAAACTGAAAGATAAAGTAATGCTAAAAATGTATTTCAAAAGCTGACGCAAATTATGTTTAGAGAAACGTATTACTTAGTCGGCACTTATTTTATTTTATTATCTCTTAGAAAACTTTCCCAAACTGCAAAATACATTTGGCTCTTTTAAATGGCTTATCTTGAATCTAAGTAAAATACGTAAGGGATCCAGTTGAACGGCGTGCGAATGGCATCAGAGTAATATGGATAATGTGTTGACCCTTTGACCAGGTTTTGTTCACAACAAGCTGCTTACCATTAACCTCAAGTTGCCTAAGAACATCAACAATATTCAACTCTCATTCCATATCTACGCAAATTTGCCAGCTGCAGAAGCCAGATAAATGCCTTGCAAAATGGTAAACAGGCGGTGGCAACGATAAAGCGTACTTCGCAACATAAAAATAATGCTTTGACGCAATATAATTTACATTGGCCTTATTTATTTATAATTTTTATATCAAGCACATTTTTATATGGATCTGTCTGTGTGGCGGTGCTGAAAATGTCTGTCTACTCATACCGAAATGGCCTGTCATAAAAGTTTATAAATATCGCTGGCATTGAACTTCTATTTGATTAAAAGATTATTTACTGCACGACGATACCAACAGCGGCTGCAAATATAAAGCTTTTCAGTAATAACAACTAAGAATGCTATAGTCGAGTGCGCTGGACTACGATATACCCTGTTAAATATAATCTACATTTATTGCCATATTTATGCATACAGATAGTAATGAGTGCAATATGAGCATATGATTTAGATAATAGCTTGGATGTTTCTTATCTGATCTTGATAATTCGTCCAGTTGACCAATAACATGTCAATATATATTCTTAATTAATTGGAATTTCTCAAATTGTGACTTGCACTGCGATATGTATCAATATTCACAAAGCGGAGCAGTTGTCGCTAAAATTAAATTAAATTCAACTGCTCGAGATATACAAGCTTTAACTCTTAAATTATCTAAGAGCCGGGTGTTCGTACAGATGGATAAACAGACAGGCTAAGTCGACTCGGCTTTTGATTCTGATCAAGAACAAGTATACCTTTTACTCTATAATATGTTTCCATCTTCCTTCTGTTACATACTTTTAACCATTTTTAATGGATTCAGGGTTATACCCTGAAAAAAAATCGTTCAAAGTTGTTTATTTACATTCTTTTAGTAATATTTAAAGTCCTTGACACAAATCTGTACACTGAACTCTGTGAAATAAATAAATTTATTAGGCAATATTTCTGTAGGACTAAAGAAAAAGCTTTTTTTTAATGGATAGTTCACATTCATAAATAAAATTTTATTAAACCGCCAAACAAGTTAATTGGACTATAGTTGCATATTAATTTGCATTGACGCAATTAATCAACCTGGGAACAGTAGTTCAACCAAAAACCAAAATGAGTTTTCCCAACTAATGGGGAAAAAAATGTGCGTAAATAAATCAGACCGTATTCAGCATAATTAGTTATCTATATGCACATACATGAATATGTATTCATTTATGCCTGCACTCATTATCTGCATGTGTACCCAAAACACATTCATATATAAATTGGATATGTGTTGTTGCTGTTTACATTTGATCCTTGTTTGAGGTTGGCTTTGACGGCAGACCAATTCAAACCAAACATGCGAACGCAGTTAAAAGATGTCCGAGAGGCTTTTTTATTTATGAATTATTCAGTGCAGTCGTTAGTGGCACTCACTCTGCTGTTTAGCCTAATTAGCCGCTGGCATGTAGTCCACCCATCCGAATTGTGCGAGTTGTGGGTTGGTCGTGGCACCACCACGCTGCTGCTGTTGTCAGTAAATATACGGAATTTATAGCTCAAATGGGTTCGCACATAAAACGCAAACATGCTTGTACTTTCGCTCACATTTTCACTTCGAATAGTGGTAGTATTATATTTGCTCCCTAAGCAGACGCAGCAGATGGAATCGGGAATCACGGGGCTGACTGTACGGTAAGTGATATAGTTTATGGGACCACCCTGGTCGGGAGCCAGCACATTTGATGTATTATGCATGAGAACTGCAGCTGAAATTGCAAGCCCCAATTGTCGGACTTGCAGCCGAGCAAAGTTTACACTCGTTGTGGGAGTTGTTAAAGGTAAACAGGACTAGAGGAGAGTAGGGCAGGGTGGTTTAGAGAGTGGTTGGTGGGTTGAATAGTACTTCCTCATATCTCTGTAAACAAGTTTGCCAGCGAGTTAGTACAAAACTTTTTACGACTAAATTGTATTTTGTTGTTTGCTGTCTGGTTTGTGTGAATGGCAAATGGGCCAAAAGTTATCTGAACGATGGGGAGGGGACGGCAAGTAGTAGGAACTTTATAGAACGGCAACTTTACAATTTCAAACATTCAGCGATCATTTTTTCCTTTTTTTTTGCCTTTCTGTTGTCAGTTTGTTAGTTTTGAAATGCCATCATTTTATGGACTGCACAATGAATGCGGCGACATCTGCTGCCTTCGATAAGCTTCATTTTTCAACTTGGTATCCTGTCACTGGTAGCTGGTGCCCATCACTCACTGGAAAAGTTTTGACAGGTCCATTTATCTAATCAATTTTTACAACAATTTTGTATATTCACCGCAATAAGTTTGCTACTGCAACAATAAAATGCCAGAACTGACCGCAATTGTTTTACAAAATAAAGTTACTTATTGAGTATTAAAAATTTGTTTGATTATATTATTTATGTCTGAAGTGGTTTTTATTAAGAGACGCATTGCACATCGTAGCAATAATAAAACATTAAATTTCAAAATGTAAATTAAGGTCAAAGAAATTCATTTTCGAAGTAAACAAAGTAAATTTCCTTAAGTTTAATTTTGGGTATATTGTTTTGGGTCACGTCAAGAACGATATTTGCGACTTGAAAACGTAATCACAATTAAGCATGGTTATAAAAATGTTACATTTGAGTGCTTAGTGAATAAAATCGATTGGCTTTGTTTGGTTTTTTTTGGGTGAATGCATTTCAGCGAGTCAAATATTGCCAATCAATCACACTTAAAGTGCACGAGTGTGTTGTAAAATGTAAAGAGCCTGATTAAACCTCTACTAAATCGTAGCATATCAAAATCAAACATAATGTGCCACGCCCCTCTCCAAGCTGGCAAATGTTTTGGTCGATATTGCTGTCTTTGTGTGGGGATTTAATGGCTACAATAACAAGGTCTTTACTCACACACACGCTTATATATAACATATTTTCAATATGTACTTACTTACACTTACACTCTACGTAAAATGTTTTGGCTATAAAAAAAAATTATTGCTTGGATTTTATTCCACTTTTTGTCCGCGTGATCTTCGCAATTCTTGTATTCGTCTTTGACGTGTCATGAAACATGTGTTTCATTTGCCGAATGGGGATGTGGATGTGGATGTCGACATCGGGAGGGTGTTGATGTTGAGCTTCATTGATGATACGCATTTATTTTATAACATCAATATGTGTATTAGCCCATCAGATTCATGTTGAGGGCAGCTGGTGCATGAGGCCAACTGGCCTGACACTCGTTGGATTAATGAAGTTCCTCGAGCCAAATGCCAAGTGTCTAATTGACGATTGAAATGGACGGTTCGTCATCTGCAGGGAGCGAAGGGAACAGGAAAGATATGTTGTAATCGATAGCGTAGCAGATGTCTGTGAAATTTACTGATTTACGTCCATTGGCAGAGAGATTAGCAAATCAATGTACTGTCTAAATAAACACAAAATAGTCTGTATAGAAAATTGATTGACTTGCTGGCCGCTTTTTTGTTCAACAAAGGAATTTAAAGTTATTTTCACTGTATTTCTGTACAGTATTTTGAGCCACTCTACTGAACTCTACTTATGTTAGTTTAGATACATGTTAGCTTACGTACACTTCTCAGTGAAGTATGTTCCACTCAAGTATTAAACTCTCTACAAAGCTATCGTTTGAAAGCTCTCTTGCACACTGTGCTTATGTTAGTTTACACTCATGTTAG